CGGAGGCTCTGCTCCGTGTCATCTTCAGTCTGGGACCCAGGCTGATGGAGCAGCCACCATCTGGGGCCTTGCTGGTCATTGGGGCAGAGGGAAGGAGGGAGTGGTGAAACGTGCACTAGCTATAAAATGCTTTGGCTGGGACTCACTTCTTTTTTTTTTTTTTTTTTTTTTTTAAGCAGGGCCCAACTCAGGGCCCAAACTCATGACCCTGAGATCAAGACCTGAGCTGAGATCAAGAGTCGGACGCTTAACCGCCTGAGCCACCCAGACACCCCCGGCCTGAACTCAATTCTGATCACAGCTCACTGGCAAGAGTTAGTCGCATGGCCCCACCCACACAAGGAGGTAGGGAAGTTAACCCTCCTGGGTGTGAGAGCTGAAGAGCCAGATAGTTGATGAACAGGATTGATGACCCACTTGCGAGGTTGTAGGAATTCAGTGAGAAGTGCAATGAACTCCATCCATGCTAGCCATTAAAACTGTTGCCTTGTCATGCTGGTTCCCTTTTTCTTTGCCCTCATGATTTCCTGTGACTTCCGCCTCAGCTCCACCTGTTTCCAGCTGCAGATAAGAGGGAAACGGACTTGCCAAGACTCACACAATGAACCTATGGCTGGGCATCCAGGTCTCCAAATTCTGAGCCCCTCCTACTGTAGGGGGCGGAGCAGAAGGGGCTTTGCCCACAGAGGTTCTCTAAGAGTGTTGATTGACACTGTGACGGTCTTTTGAGGGAGCCTGAAGCCTCTGCCCTCCTCCCAAAGCTGGTCTCTGGCCTTTCCAAGCCCTTCCTGCCCCGCCAGCGTGGAGAGCCGAGGGGGTGGAACAATGAGAAGCCTGTGCCACCCCCTGGGGCCAGAGTCCGAACATTGCAACCATTCCTACGCAGGGACCTGGCACATTCCCGCCTCCTGTCCTGTTCTGGACCTGGCCCAGACACACCCACTATATCCTGACAGCTCCCAGATGGTGGGAAAGGAAAGCTCTCGGGACTCCGCAAAACATCCCAAAGCATTTAAAAACCTGCACAACAGTCCCCCCGCCCCCCGGGGCCCCCAGGAAGCCTCTAAGCCTTTCTAAAATCTTAGTATCTAAGCAGATGGGTAGCTCCTGGCAAGACTTCCAAAGAGGGCGCCTGGGTGGCTCAGTTGGTTAAGCGACTTGCCTTCGGCTCAGGTCATGATCCTGGAGTCCAGGGATCGAGTCCCACATCAGGCTCCCTGCTCAGCGGGGGGGTGTGCTTCTCCCTCTGACCTTCCCCCTCTCATGCTCTCTCTCTCTCTCTCTCATTCTCTCTCTCAAATAAATAAATAAAATCTTAAAAAAAAAAAAAAAAGACTTCCAAAGAGACCAGCACATTCATCCAACAAGCGTGCTTTCATGGAGGCCCTGCCCAGTGCCAGGCAGGCTGTGGGCTGAGATGAGGAGATGCCACTGATGCTCTCCACAGACACATAAACAAAATCACGGCACAAGATTAGGGCTGTAACGGGGAAAGCTGCCAGTGAGATCACGGAGGGCTTCCTGGAGGAGGTAGCAACTGGAAAGTCATCAGATTCTCTCCCTGGATCTAAGCCTTATGTGAAAAACCACCTTCTGGTCATTCTCCCCACTGTCACCACCACTCACTGATACTCTAGGCTTCAACCTCACAACACCCCTCACACTTCTCAGAAAGGACTGGGTTCCCCCTAGCCTCCATGGCTCTGCACTTGCTGACTGCCCTTCCCCTTACAGGGAAAACTCTTATTCAGTCTTCAAAACCTAGCTGAGTCGTTATGTCCTCCAGGAAGCTTTCCTTGACAAACCCCCGCCCCAAGAGTCTTTGGTTCTGTTTCCAGTTTCTCGCACAGCTCCTTGCCGCAATGACGCTTCTTGTCATCTGTTTACACATCTGTCCCCGCTCCGGTTTATGAGCTCTTTAGATTCAGAGACTTTATCTTCTTTGTCATTGCATTCTTGGTGCCAGGCCTTGTGCTGGGTAGAGCAGTATGCGACATGCTTCCATGGGGTTCGGGAGGTTAGCGGTAGGATGCACAGCATTTATACGGTGCTTACTTCCCAACTAGCTCCTTCGACATTTGCCACAACCCGGGGCGGCAGGCAGGGCAGGAGTGATACGGAAACAACAGGCCGTCTATGGAAAACCTGCCATGAGCTGAGCACCATGCCAGACACTGGCAGGGGACATTCATCTGGGCTTCAGTCACATTGGGAATCATTGTGATTCTCAATGCCTGGCACACAGAAATGTTGGGTGAAATCCGACGTGTGTCTGGGAGCTAAGGAAGCTTGACCAGTTTTGTAGGATTTACTATCGTCATGTCCTGACCCCAGGTTGCTCCCGGTACAGCCCTCTGGCATGCCTTGGCAGATGGAAGAATCTGTCTTCGTGGGCAATGGTCTATTTCTGTAGGCTCTGCCGTCTGAGTCAATCCTCCCCCTTGTCCAAAAAATGCCGAGGATGCAGTCTGTTGTGTTAACGTCCCACTTGAGACATTTCTTTTAGTATCTAGAACCAGAAATTCGTCTTTCACCAAGAGTCAATCTCTCTCCCTTCTATCACATAAGAAGAATAAAATGACCTCTTAGTGTGTGCTCTTTCCCTCTGGCTGCCGGGAAGCTCGGAGACAAATAATAGTATCACAGGGAGGAGTCAGAGTCAGAACATTTCCTTCTCGCCCCCATGTACGTGGCTTCTTTAATTGAAACTTTCCTGTGTTCTTTATGGGAAGAGCAGGCGTAAATACGCTTTATGTGAGAAGCCGTGGGAACTGGGAAAGGGTCCAGGTTTAAGCAGAAGGCTGGCGAGAACCCCTTACTCTCTCTGAGCCCCAGGCTCCTCCTCGGCAGCCCTGGGATGAGGAGCTCTGCTGCCTTCCTCCTGCGGAGGCAGCTCTCCCATGAGGAGGACTGGCCACGGCCCAAGCCTCAGGGAGGGTCACGGTCAACTCCCTCCCTGCTGAGGTTATGCGTTTATAACCTTGAACACTTTCACACTTCCAATCCAGTGTGGCCAGAAGTTTTATTTTTAAAGAGGAGTCAGAAAAAGAGATTTCTCATGTGAAATCTCCTGACTTAGAAATGTTGCCAATTAATTTGCATTTTTTTCCCCCAAAACGCTGCGTTTGACAAACCAAACTTGGCTGCAGGCCAGATTTAGCCTGAGGCCCCTGCAGGCTCAGCCAGTCCAGCCGTCCGGGTGGCCTGGGTGGGTTACTTCTCTCCATACTCGTTTCCTCCTCTGTAATATAACGTCCTCAGTCCCGCTATTTTCCTCCCAGCACCCGTTCCCTCCTTTACGCAACTGCCCCTGCCCACACCCTCCTCCTCGGACCATGCGATCAGTAGGCTGTCTCCGCCCCTGGCTCCAGCGGTGGGTACCAGAGCTGCCTGGCAATGGGGCACCCCATGCCCTGAGCCCAGGTGGCCCCGGGGGGTGGCAATGGGAGTCCACCCCCTGAGCTTTTGCTGGAACAAGATGCCTGCTCCCCTCTGAAATCAAGGTGCTAAGGGCTGTGGGAGCCTAGGACTGCCAGGGGAACTTGACCACCACGTGGAGAAAGTTGCCTGGAAATGCAGCCCACACAAAGGAAACCAGGACAGAGGGAGACAGACAGACAGACAGAGAGATGGCAGGTCCTGGTGACATCCTTGAGCACCAGGGTCCAGCCAAGCCTGAGTCTCGACCCGAACCCCTTTATTTCAGCTGATTTCACTTTGGCGTCTTGGGCCAGGGCCAGGCTAGGGTGAGGCCAGAGAGGCCTCGAGGGCACAGAATTGAAGGAGGCACTTGGGTGTGAGCCCGAGGTGCCTCTCTGGCCTCACCCTGGCCTGGCCCTGCAACCCAGGGTATGTAAGACCTGGGTTTGCCCCATGGAGGAAGAGCAGCCCCAGCCCTCCAGGTGAGAGGAAGCAGCTGTCGCCTGCCCTCATTCCTTAAATGGGTCATGTGCCCAAGCGAGCCCTGCTCTGGGGTCAGGAGATCTGGTCCAAATCTCAGCCCACTGCCCCACAGCCTCAGCTAACCCCTAGGACAATGGAATGGTACTTACTTGTGTCCCTGTGTTCTCCCCCTCTCAAGGAGGCAGACTTCTTAAATGGTCACACGGCCACCCAGCTGAAGAATATACTTCCCAGGAGCGCTTGGGTGGCTCAGTCGGTTAAGTACCTGCCTTCGGCTCAGGTCATGATCTCGGGATCCTGGAATCGGGCTCCCTGCTCAGCGGGGAGTCTGCTTCTCCCCCTGCCTCTGCCCCTCCCTCATGCTTGTTCTCTGTCTCTCTTTCTCTCTCTGTCTCAAATAAATAAATAAATAAAATCTTAAAAAAAAATAAAAATAAAAGAATATATCCCCCTCCCCCCATTGCAGCTAGACCTAACCATGTGACGAAGTACTGACCAGTAGGATGTAAGGGGGCAGGGAGTACAGCCATCACAGGGTGTTCCTCAAGGGAGGGGATACACTTCCTTCCACCTTGCTGCTCTGGGTGCAGATGAGCCCTCTGGATTTTGCCCCCCGGGGCCACATCCCAGGCACAGGGAAGCAGGAACTCAGGCCCCTGAACATGCGGCGACCCGGCCATCAGACCAGCTCCATGAACTGTACTGTGAGCGGGAAAGAACATTCTATTTGGCGTAAGGCCCTGTTGTTTTGCATCTCTGTGCCTGAATTCATATCCTAATAGGTACCCCACCCCATGTATTCCAGCTAACGGTTTCGGTCGTCCCGATTAGGGGGAGGGGGTGAGAGCTACTGGTTTCTAGTGGATGGAAACCAGAGATGCTCGTTATCGCACAGCACACAGGACAGCCTCCCACAGCAGAGGACGATCTGGGCCACAATGTCAATAGTGCTGCTGCCGAGAAACTGCTTTACCTTCCCTGGAGACAGGTGTCCCCGTCCCTAAAAAGGGGAATATTATTGCACTCTCATAGTTTATGAAGATCCAATGAGATGACAGACACGAGCCTCCCTTCAGAAAAGGAGAGAGTCCTGCAAAAACGGTCATGAAGTCTTTATTATTGCAAGACACTAAGAGGGGAGCTCCAGAGGAGGAGAGTGAGACAGGCTGCCAATCACACAGGAGGAGGGCTCCCTGGTGGGGCTAGGAGGGTGGGAAGGGGGTGCTGGGGGTGTGCAGTACCTGAAGGTGCAATACAGGGCAGGGAGGGACTGGAGGGCAGGGGCCTTGGGGAAGGGGAGAGATAGAAAAGTCTGGTAGAAGGAGGGAGGTAGGAAGTGCTCCAGGTGGTCCCCGGGGCTACTCACAAGCTCGCCCTATCCCCACCACCTCCCACTCTGCCTCTCACACATACAGACCTGCATCTCCCCCTCCCCACATGCTTCTCCTCTTCCCCCAGACACTCTCTCTCTCACACACACACATACACACACCCTCCTTCCTCTGTGGTCTTACCCCTCTGCCACCCCATCGCACACTCTCATCAATGCCAAGCCTGAGTCCAGAGGGGTGGGGCGGGGCTGGACCAAGCAGAGACCAAAGGCCCTCCAAATAGGGCCTTTTCCTTGGGTCTGCTTTGAAGTCGGCCATGTGAAGCTGCAGGGTGGGTGCCTTGGGTGGCGGGGGCCGCTGAGCGTCACCAGGGATTCAGTGGGGAAGTGGGACTCTCTAGGTTCAGGACAGGCAGGGGCAGTGGTGCCTGACCCCAGGTGAGGGGCAAGAGTGCTGGGCAGCACAAAGGCACTGGGGGTCAGTGGGGGATTAAGCCCAGAGCTGGGGAGGGCAGGTGTGGGGTGAACTGGCTTGATGTGGAAAGCAAGCCCTGGGCCAGCAGCAGTGACACCTTAAGGTACCCAGGTGCCCCATCTCAACAGGTGCAGCCAGGGTCCACCCCGAGCTCCCGGAAGCCTCTGCTGGGAGGGCCCAGGCAACAGAGGGATGGCCTGGAGGACCAGGGGTTGTCCTTTCTCTGCCCCAGGGTGTCCAAGCTGGGCGAAGCGGGGGAGGGCGCCCGGTGGCCGCCAGCGGCCACCGGCGCGAGTCCGCTCAGACCTCTGGCCCTCCGAAGGCCAAGTTGTCGCGGACCATCAGAGTCTTGCGGAGGTCACGATCCACCAGGGGGCGCTGCATGCGCCACTTGTGCGCCTCCTGCAGGCCAGGCTCGAAGTAGTAGATGCAGGCGCCGAAGCCCACCAGGATGAGCACCGAGATGACCAGGTAGACGGGCACGAACCAGTCCAGGAAGTGCGGCATGGCGGCGGCCTCAGCTGCCGAGACAGGACGGTGAGTGCCGGCGGAGGCGCCCCTTGTCCCACCTGCCAGCCTGGAGGGACACGCGCGGGCCTCACAGAGCCACGAGGTCCGAGCATCACCTTACAGATGGGAAGGCTAAGGCCCAGGAGAGTGGCGTCCGCCCCCTGCCCCGGAGCGAGAACAGAGCTGCCCGCATCACAGGGACCCACCTAGCTCCTACTCACCCTTCAAGAAGGCAGCTTGTAGCTGAGGGCGGGACCTGGCTCAATCCCTCTGAGGCACAGGTGCCTCAGGCAAGTTGCCTAAACTCTCTGCTCTCAGCATCGTCGTCCCCTGTGAGGAAGGGGACGCGGACAGAGCCTAGTGGGGATTCAGAGCACTCAGTAAAGCTCAGCTGGGGCCGTGCGTCCTCTGAGCCACCCCTCCCGTCCCTGACTGCGCAGTTGCAGATGCTGCCACTTGCCAGACCCTCACAGATGAGTGGGTCCCCAGCCACCCGCACATCCTGGCTGGGTGTGGCTTGGTGAAAGCGAGCTGAACAAACACCCATCCCCAGGGGATTGGGTTGGTGTCAACAGGGTCTGCACAGGCACCCGAAATTCACGCCCAATTTCATAATTATAACACTGTGAACACAAGCACCAGCCCAGAAAACTTGGGCCTCGGGCTTCCACGTCTATAAAGTGGGCATGAAGATAGCACCTGGACCGCGGGGCTGTTGTGACCGTTAAATGGGTTAATTTATGGAAAATACTCAGAATTAGTGCCTGGACCATAATCCATGCTACATAGTTCTTTGTTCTTACTCTCTGAGCCTCAGTTTCCTTATCTGTAAAATGGGGATAGAAGTAGGATCCATTTCTTAAGGTCACTGTGAATGTTTGACAAGATAAAGCCTAAAGAGCATTTAGCACCACGCTGCATGGCCCTGAACCAGCCCTTGTCTTACCTGTTGTTATTTCCAGCCAACCAGAGGCAGGAAAGCAGGAAAATGGAAGGTAACAGGTATAAGGTGCTTCACGAACGTTACATACACCCAGACCCCTTAGAATGGCCCAAAGTTACGCACAGCTGCACTCTGCCAACCTCTCCAGCCTCATCTCCCAGCCCATGTGCCGTCATATGGAACTGCTCATCAGTCACCTGTGTGTCCCTGGGTGTCCTACAATCTCCATCTTTCATAGGATGGAGATATCCCTTTCATTTTCATTTTCCCTGGGATGTCCTTTGTACTGTGTTCATGGGGCAGGCTCCTACTCATCCTTCAAAAGCCAGATCACAGACCATCTCTTCCAGGAATGCGATAAAGTAGGACCCATTTAACCCACCCTCAAACCCTTCCTGAGGAGTAAAAAAGGGGCAAGGGTGAGGAGCCCCACCTCTGCTTGCCAGGCAGGGAGAGCCCTATTAAAATGTGTTCACAAATCACGAGGCCTATGGGGTAGGTGTTACTGTCTACATTTTACTGAGGCCCAGATGGGTTCACTAACTTGCCCTGGGTTACCCAATTGGAAGGTGACTAAGAGCTGGGCCCCAAGCCCCCAGAGATGTCCTGAGGTTTGAGTCCTCCAGGGTGGGTAAAGACACCTGAGCAGAATGAAATGAGCAGAGGCCCACCTTGGCTTCTGGGGAAGGAAGAAAGGGGATGAATGGAACGACTCCAGGGCAAGCTAAAGAGAAGCCTTAGCTTCTCAGACCTCTGTCTCCAAACTCCAGCCCCTCTTGTCCTGCTACTTCCAGGTGGGTCTTCAAGGTGGGCTGTGACCCCCGGGGGGAGAGAGATGCTGCTTCACAGTCCCACATCCATCCCAATGCTTGCCCCTGCCCCCCCCCCAGGGTCCCCACTGGCCGCTCTGAAGCACGGACAGTGTCTCAAGGTGCCCTACTCATGGAGAAATAAAATGAAGAATGCTTAGCCATGCTCTCCTAACCATCTGCCTTTCTGGAGAGCCAAAGAAGAGTTCAAAATTGCTTTGGTGCAGCTGGGTTGAGGGGAAGTCAGGAAGAGGGGACCCCAAGCAGGAAGGCTGCTCCAAATGAACCTGACTGAGGCTAAAAGATTTGTGCCGCACCCCTGGCCGCAGGCAGGACCCCAGTCCCCTTGCAGCTTAAACATGAGAATGAGGGACTTGAGCAGAGCTGAAGCCACTCGGGCTGCAATGGTGTGGATCTATGGAGGACAGTTTAGAGTCCCCCAACCTCTCAGCCCTGTGAGCAAAACCCCAGGCATTCCCGGGCAGACTGAGGACCCCTAGACCTTCTCCTGGATTCTCAGGGGACGCCTAGCTGAAACAAATCACTCGCTGGCCTTCTGCGTGACCTCAGCCGCACCTCACCTCCTCTGGGTTTCAGGGTTCCCCATGCACTGTGACAAGGTGGGAGAGGGGGTTACCAGATGATCTATAAGGAATTTTCCAGCCCCATTCTAGCCAAAGGACAGTGTGAGGGTTGTAGGGCCCCGCTGCCTGCCTCCCAAACCACTGGCAGTCCTCGGTGCCCCCTCCCCACCGCATGCCCGCAGACCCACCTCATGCCCTGCAGATGCCTGTTCCGGGGGCTCTGTGCTGAGCGCACCACCTCAGCCTGAGCAGCTCAGCGTCGGCCTGCAGACTCAGTCGCAGCTGCTGTCCCCAAAGACACTGCCATCTGCAGCCGCCATGGGAGCTGGAGGCAGAGAAAGGGCGAGGCCAATGTCCCCCGTGGGAGACTGAGCCTCTCAGGCCCCGGGGCTCTGACTGACCAGGAGGGGGCAGTCCTGTGCTGGCAAGGCACACTGGTACCTCTCGCTGCCCATCCGAGACCCTTCCCTCTGCCCCCCACCCTCAGGATGGCGGGAGGCGGGACGTGTCTCAGCCAATCAGCAGACTGGCAGAGCAAGGGCTTTATCCTCCGTTGCCCTGGCAACCAGCCTTCTCTTCTGGATCCCTCGCATTGTGCACGTGGTACAGAAATGACAGTCAGGGCAGGGTTGGGAGAATTCGGGGAGGGACGGGAACCACCCAGCAGACTGCTGGGCCCCATGTTTGCTGAGCCTGGAGAGGAGGAGACCCCAGCTGAGATCAACGGAAGGGTTTGGAGGCTTGCCATTTGCAGGAAGGGAGAGATGAGGGTCCCCAGCAAGCGGATGAGGACACAGAAGTAGTGACTAGTAGAGACAGGGAAAGTCATATGCTGTAGAGGAAAGAACCAAGACTGAGACTGAGACTCCGGACGCATTGGTCCAATGTAGACACTGCTTTCGGTGCTTTATTCATAGTAATTCATTTATCCATCATCCAAGGTCACACAGCAAGAAAGTGACAATGCCAGAGTCAGAGTCCTAGCCTGGCCTTCAGGCCCCCACACAGGGGCTGCCTCTCCAGCTTCTGCCTCACCAGCCCCACGGTTCCCCTGGCTGGGATATAGCCTCAGATGGTTGCGACTCGCAGGCACTGAGCATTCCCACATCCCAGGCATGGCCCCACACACCATTCTGTCCGTCCTCCAGCTGATTAATGTTGAGAGCCCATCTGGGGATGAGGCAGCTACAGCTCAGAGAGGTGATGCTGCTTACCTTCTCCTTCCTCTAGGTCACCCAGCTCCTCAGTGACAAAGCCAGGGAGTGGGGGTGGGGTAAGGGGCCCACCTCCCAAGCCTGGGTCTTCCCTCCTGTGCTATAGACAGAGTGTCAGCAAAGTGCCAGGCACCCAGTGTGCATTCTGTAAACATCAGTGGTGATTGTCTCAGAAAAGAGAGCAGCCCCAGAGGCCTATGGGGCAGGAAAGAGGCTTCAAGGAAACACCTCCCCAGGGAGTCCATTCCCAGAAACCTGAGGACGGGTAAGTGGGAAATGCTGTGGGGAGAGATGCCTTAAGGACAATGGGTCCCCCACCCCACGGATACCCTGCCAGCTCTGGGACCATCTGGACCCCTGCAAGGGTGGTGAGTCCTCTCCAGCAGGCAAGGGGAGTGAGTTTGCATTCACAGGGGGATTTGTAATGAGACCGAGTACATATTTAGTAAAATACAAATCTTAAGTGATGAATGCTTACCTGTGTGTACAGCTGTGATCAATGTCTAAGAGATTTGCATCTCCCCAGACTGTTCCCTCTTGCCTGTTGCCAGTCAATACCCCCTTCCCAAAGGTACCCACTGATTTCTATCACCATAAATTAGGTTTTCCTGTATTTGCATTTAATGTAAATGGACTCATACAATATGTACTTCTGTGTCTGGCTTCTGTCACTCAACACAATGCTTTTGCTACTTAACCAATGTTGCTACATTGATCAGTGTACCACAGCTGGTTTATCTGTTGACCACTGAAGGACATTTGGGGTGTTTCCAGTATGGGACTATTGTGAGCAAAGCTTCAACAGTCTGGAGTGGGAGGACAGAGAGGGGTTGGGGGAGGGGCACGGAGAAACTTTCGGGGATATTGGACATGTGCATTACATTGATTATGGTGGTGGCTTCCTAGGTGGACACGTTTACCAAAACTTACCAAACCATAGAATTTAACTATGTGTAGCTTATCCTATGTCAATTATACTTTGATACAGCTGTAAAAAAATATGATCAATGGCCTTTAGATATTGTTTTAGCCACGTGATTCTTTATTCACACACATTTGGGAAGCTCAATATATAATAGAGGTAAAGCCTGAGCTGCTTCTGTTAAATAATGGGGTGGGGTTTCTGGACCCTACCCATGCAGCTTCCCCTTGTCCCTTACAGTATATCCCTGAGGCATCTCCCCAGAGCTCCACAGAAGCCAATTTGAAAAACACTATCCCAGAGGGTGTCTGATGGCCCTGCCCGGGTGTTCTTGATATAAGAATCTCCAGGCCTGGGTCTGACCTTCCTGCCCATCCCCACTCTTCATCGCAGTATGGATCCCACACACAGCTCTTTTCTATTGCACTGCCCAGGTGACAAGCACCAACTCACGTTCACTCCTAGGCCAAGAGTCACCTCCCCAGCCAAGTGTAGCGGTGGCTCCCCAGGGACCCTTCATGCTTCTGGGCTCCTGCTGCTCCCTGGGGTGGCTCTCACTAACTGTGCGGCTGTGGTTGTTGTAATCTGTCCATATGCCACTGAGCAGGGATGGCACCTCTGGCCTGGCCCGAGGCAGGCACTCAGCATATGCTGATTGAATGGGTCTCAGCCCAGCCCCTTCTCGAAAGTGCTACCTGGGCCAGAGTCAGTCACCTCTGCAGCCTCCTCTCTCCCCACTTTCTCCTCACTCCATCTGTTTCAGCCCCTGGCCTCCTCAATGCTCCTCAGAAGCCTCGGGGATACTCCCCCTCAGGCTCTTAGCATTTGCTGCTCCTTCTGCCTGAAACCTCTTCAAGATACTTAACTGGCTCCTCTCTCGCTGAATTCAGGCATCTGCTCAAACATCACCTGCTTACAGAGGCCTCCCCTGACCTAAAGTAGCTTCTTCCTGTCTGTCTCTATCCCCCAGGTTGCCTTACTTTATGTTCAGAGTACTCATTACCATCGGACTTTTGGGGAGTCCCCTCCACACTCCGGGCAGGAGGAATCCAAGCCCATCTGTGCTGGGGCAAGAACTCCATGAAGCCATGTACTTCCAGCTCTTTCTAAGCAAGATATAGTTTGGTCCGCAGTGAGAAGGATGTAGGTTAGACAGGGATCATGCCTCTGCTCTCCCCGACATCACAGCATGGAACACACTGTGTGATCAGGATCTGGCTCCCCTACTCCAGAGTTGATATACATTGTCTGATTCATCTGTATTCTCAAGGTGGGACGAAGGGTCTGCCCTAGGAAATGATGAAAGAATCCCTGCTGAGAATTAATCAATGGATGTAAATCAATCCATTCATTCAACAAATAATTACCGAGCAACTACCATGGGCCAGGCACTTTTTAAAGGGCTGGACATACAAAATGACAAAGTCTCTGCTCTCCTGTGTCTTATGCTGTAGCTGGAGAGACAGACAATGAGCAAGTAATCATATAACTGTTGGGAGAAGCAATGGGCCATGGGCCCTGCACATCCCTGTGCATTCCTGCTGGGAATGCCAAGAGAGCAAGGCCCTCAAAGCTCTCTACCCAGACTATTTCTCAGGGTTGTGTTTGCAGCAAGCAGCCTTGAGGGAGGAGGTGGCCTCTCCCCCAACCCCGACAAAGAACAGGTATGCCTACCACTCGCTATAAAAGCGGTGAATCTCTGGGAGCCTGGATGGCTCAGTTGTTGGGCGTCTGCCTTCAGCTCGGGTCATGATCCCAGGGTCCTGGGATCGAGTCCCATATCGGGCTCCCTGCTCAGTGGGAG